AGATATTGAAAAAAAGGCTGTATTGATTAAAAACTGCATTACACGTGGAAATTAGGTGATTGGTAAACTGGTGTTCAACTGGACCCTTTGCTGAATGCACTTCAACCACGGGAAGCTTCTCGCACTGATTTGCAAATTGCAGAAAACCCCACTGCTGGCAACATTTGAAAAATACTAAGAACAACCTTTGTTGTCTGAGGAAAGAAAAGAGGCCAATAAAGACATTTTTCACTTCTTTAACGGATATGTGATGATCACAAGCTTCTTGCATTGATAAGACAGCGCCTGCACACTGAAGAAGGGTGCCCACCAGGACATACTTACACATACCAAGCACTGTACTTGCATCATTTATAGCTACTCTACATACTTTATAACGTATGCATGGATGAGCCATACTGATTATAGGATACTGAAACTGTCTCATTTGTCCAGGCCAGTCACAATCTCATAATTAAATGATAGCCATATAGAAATCCTCGCTCAAACTGGGACAGCAGAAGGTTCATTTCCTTGTTTGTTAGAAGCTTTCCCATGCCATGTGCAAATGGAATCTGGGGGTGATGGAGATTTTGAGCACTTAGAAATGAAGAGACCTGAAGTGGGTCACAAAAACCAAGATCAGAGAGTTTCTCTAGGAAGTCACACAGCCAGATCCATGAGCAGCACTACAGCAGAAGTTGCTGTCAGGAACCAAATGCCAGCTCAGGTTTTCCTCCCGGCTACGGAGACATGAAACCATCATAAACACAACTCTTCCTTTCCACTCATCAGGCTCCGCACTCAGCTGACAGCATCTTAAAGCTAACCCTGTTTGGCCAGAAGAACAGAGGACACTGAACAAGCACGCCTTTCTGTAGGAAAGTCCCCTTCTTGCCACCCCTTCCTTTTCAGGCCAGAGCTCCTCAGCTGACAGGAATATTAGAAAACCCATTCTGTCATACAGCCAGAAATTTCTGCTCTCATTCAAAACACTGAGCTCGCTGTGCTCCAACAAAGCCGTGTTCAAAACAAGCGTTGGCATGTGCATTTATGCGAAATGACTGAATGGCCCTGCAGGTTGATAAAAGGTTCTGGAGTCTTTCACATAAAACTAAAGTCACTGGTTTGAATCTGACCCGTATCAGTGGTGTCTGAAACTGGCTACAGCTGGAAGGCTGTTGGCATCCTGTCTGACAGGGCTGGTAGTATCAGCCTGATTCCTGGAAGACAAATACACCCGCTGTGTTGGTAGTTTGCACAGGGAGGTCAAGACTCAACAAGGAATAAATTTTGAACTTCCTTTCCGTGCGTGCTCTTTGTCCTGCCAACGCAGCCGGCGGCAGTGGTTGGTAGGCTCTTAAGGCCAGCGAGTACAAGGTACTTTCATGGATCGTGATAAACCTACCCAGCTGGGTTTAATTGAAAATATTCTGTATCATTTAATCCACTTTCACAAGCTATCTTCCACAGCCTTGTGAACCAGGACTTACACATGACACTGATGTCTCCAAGAGAACATGCTGGAAGAGTCCATCCCTCCCACACCATACAATAAAATGTTAAATCTGATGATTATCCCTGAAGAAGTAGGGAAAAAAAACCAAAACAAAACACCAAAACCATCCATCTGTAATCTGCCCTTCCCCCATCTCCCTAGGCCATAAACAATTCTGTCAGTTGAGTTTCCCAGACAGCTCAGCATTAGTGAACGCATTCCCCCACAAAAGAAAAAAAAACACAAAAAAAAAAAAAAAAAAAAAAAAAAAACACAGGTACACAAATCCCCCATCCCCTTTGTTTGGGTACAAACACTTAGTTTGGGCAAGGCAAGAACTCACCCCTGATGCTCCCTCTGAAACTCAGCTCAGAGACCAGAGGTCTCTGACCAGGCCACAGCAGGAGCAAAATGAGGTGGGGAAAACCCAGTTTTTAATTGATACCAAACTAAAGCACGGTTCAGATCAAATCTCATTTTACTGGGATGTTCAAACCTCCTGCCAGCACTCAAACTGCTCTGGCTTTAGTCCATTGTACAGCAGCATGCTGATCACCTTAAAAATCTTATTAATCTGATGAAGAGTGCTCCCTAGACCTTACTTTCTGTAAAGTGCTGAGCTGCTCATCAGCCCTTACCAAAAATCACAGAAATAAAGCCTGATCCTCCCAGCGTGAGCTACAAGCTTTGCCCCTTCCTCACTGAGGCAGCAAACTCCGCTGGCTTGCTCCTGTTCACACAGCCCTGCACATGCTCAATAACACCATTGATTTTGTTTGTGCAGGCAGAGAGAATCCAATTTTAAAAAGCCACATTGATTCCCACCCATTAAAAACAGAGCAAGCTGCAGCATTCGCTAAATGGATAGAAAAAGACTGAGGTCAGGGTGGAGGGGTGGGAATAATGTCATTACTACAAGCTCGTTCTGAAGGACAGTTGCAGAAACAGACAATAAAATAGTAACCGTTTGACTTCACATTATTTGTTGTAGTTTCTAAATTACAAAAATAGTAATTCTACAACCTGGGAGTGCCCCAGCACCGAGAAGGAGATGCAAAACTGAAGGCATCCAAGAGCATGTAGCTGTGATTAGTTGATTTGGAGCATGAAAACGCACACACACGCAGCAAGAGAGGGCACAGATACAGGAACCGAGACAGCAGCAGTATCTGCAAAGGGCCCTGTCTGCTTTTCAGTTCTTTGTTTTCATACATTAAACAAACAGAGCCATTGCACAGGTCACTGAGGACCTTCCTTCTGCTTCCATGGCCCCAGCTGCACCACAGACAAAAACTATTATTATTCTCTAATGGCTGCACCTTTTGGACAATGATTCAGTGTTTTTCCCCCCCTCTCTTCTGTGCAGTGCCACTTAGTCTTTTGCTTCATTTTATGTTTTAGTTGCACACTCTTGAAATCTTCATGTAGCAACTAAGCATCGATGAGGAAGCTGTGAGTGGGAGCTCCTGCTTTTCGCTGCAGCTGCTCGCTGTGGGTAGGTCCTGGGAATGGATGGATGCTGCTGCAGCGGTGAGGGGCTGGGAGAAGCTGCTGAGTAGGGAGGGATGTGGTGGTGGTGGTGCAGCCCCTGGGGGCACTTCCCCACCCCAAATCTGGGAGCATGAGCTACAGACAGCCCCGATGCAGGGAGCCACAGCTGGTCAGTGACCAGCAGGCACAGCCTGGAGCGTGCCCACACCCCACGCTCGATGTAGTGGCTGAGCTTCAGTCAAACTCCACATGCCAGCAGGCCGTGAGGCTGCCCACATGTTGCAGAGCAGTCACTCGTCTTCCCAACTTAGTCGGAGGATGTGAGCAGGCAGGCGCTTGCTAGCACCGCTGAGGCTTTCGTAATTGGTCCCAGCTGGTTAGTCGTAACATGCCTTGTTGTTGAGCAACCACCTACTAACGCTGTCAGACATTCCCTGGTTGCATAAGGAGGGCTAGTTATCGTTATTAATTACGCACTGCCATGGGCCTGTGCCACACCGCACAGATAAGAAAGCCCTTAAGCTCCCAGCCAGTCATGCCCTCAGTGTGCAGGCTCCCCCCAGCACCATGGGAAGCAAGCTCAGGCCTTGCAGCAGCCACGGCCATCTCCTACCCTTCCTACCATGGTTTTGAAGCGACTTGGTCCTCCCTCCCCTGCTGGCAGCCAGCAGGGGCCAGGCCAGCTAGGCCACCACAGCAGCCATCTTGTGGAAGCCATGGTGTGTCGTTGTGTGGGCACGCAACCAAGAGCACCGCCGCCATTTCAAAGCATCGTGAAGAGATATACCCCATCGCATGGCCACATCACTGACAGGAGACATAACAGCAGCACAGCTTGAAGCCTAACCTTAAACCTACAAGAGGAAACGACATAGAAAGCAAACATGCTGTTCTTGGTGCAGAAGGGAAAGACCCAACAACGTGGATCCCTCTCAGGAGGGAAAATGAGGCAGAAGCATGGGGGAAATGCAATGGAAGTGGCTATTCTACAAGCTGCCTGAGCGTACCAACAGCTCTGAAGATTTAAATCAGCATTTCCCAGCCTCCCTGCTTCCCCAGCTCTAGGTCCTCACTCACCATTCAATTTGAACTGTGCAAAACAAACAAACAAAAAAGAATAATAATCAGGGGCATTTTGTGCAGGAAGAACAAGCAGCATCTTTTTTCTTCCCTGTCAGTGGACCACCTTGACATCCCCCTTGCAAAACTGAGGACTGTAGTTATGTGCTGCATGCAAGATCCTTACATGCCTTAAAATGCCATTTTGAGGGCAGTAATCCATTTCTGTAGCCACAGGCTAACGTAAAAGCTGTGAGCTTGTCTAGGAGCTGGAGCTCCAGGGCTGTTTGAAAGCACACACCTTGAGCTGGAAATTAATCTCTTCAAATCCCACGTGAAACCACATGGCAGAATTGGGCTGAGAGGAGCAGTTCACGTTGCTGTATCAGCTGCCTCAAGCAACCCTGACCTTTGCCATCCATGGCTTTTATCAGAACTAAACTCTGTTGCCCTGGGTTTGCTCCTGCTGCTTCTCTCCCAACTTCTGTATTTGCTACCCTCCAGACCCAAGAAGCGCACTGAGGCTGTTAGGAAAATACCCTGACAACTTACAGGTAGGACAGGCACTACCGCACTTCTCCAGCTGCTGGGCAGAAGCAGCTGGGGAGATTTCTTCAACTCTCTCTGAGGAGGAGGCTGAAGGCTTGGACTCGTTCAAGGTCTCCATGGAAAAACACCCACCACCAAGGTCAGAGGTTGGCAACCGTGTCACAACACCGTGCTGCCAAATGCTGCAGGTTGGTCCTTCAGCTTCAATGTGAGCTATCTCCCTTTGCACACACAGTGCCTCTGATTGCCACACAGGAACATTTCACACCCGTTTACCACCACTCCTCGCTTTAACACCAGTTCAGATCATGCTTTAATGTTACCCATGCCTTTGGAAGCAAAGAGGGCAATTTGCAGAAGCTTAAGTTTAGTTTCTTTTGTGCTAGATCATAGATACTGATGCAAAAAGGTAATTCTCTAAATCTAACAAACGTTTAAAGTTTATTCTCAGTGGATTTATATAGACATAAATATACAGATTAAAAACAAGTAACACTTTGGGGGCTTTTTATTACCGTCTAAAGTAGCCAGGAACATGGACATTTTCTCTCTCTTTTCTATCTGCTTTCTTCCAACTGCACAGTTCAGAGACTTCATACAGATCAGAGACAAAGTTCAAACCAGCACTGACAATTTCATTAAAAAAAAATTGTGTTTTCTTATGTTCTTTACTCTTTTATTGCTATTTTCAAAATGAAGAACAGACCCTATCAAAGTGCTAAGGGCTGAAAACATAACTCTAAACCTGTCTCTAAATGATACACGAAACCCAACTTTGTGCCAATCCATTTTTATCATCTCTTTGTGGCCATAACAAAGCTGAGAACAAGAGCTAAACAATAGAGAGAAAAGAATAATTTCAACATAATTTTTTTTCTGAAAGTAACAATCGGTGGCAATAACAAGAACCCATTCAGAAGACAAAATGTTATCTTCCAACCCAGTTAGCATGTCTTTCTTCCTCTCACTCATTATATATCTCGCACATCACGCTATATTTTGACCTCGCTTACAAAGGAATACGCTTGGAAGCGACATCTCCATACGCGTATCAGCACAGCTACGTAGGCTCCAGCCCATGCTACCTCTCCCTTCCTGGGTCCCTCACACACCTGCTACGAGGAGATAGGTGTTATCAAAGAAACCTGCAGAAGAGCTTTACAGGAACAAGTGACATGGCAAGCTTATCCTTTTGTTTGTACTCATGCAGCCCTCCTGAACCGCTGATTTACATTGCTAACAATGGCAGGAGCTATATTTTTGACAGCTACGGGGACAAGACCTCTTAGGTAAACTTTATTTATTTTGTTTTAGATACAGACCTGCACCATTACTTCCTTTTACCTGCCGAAACAACTGGCAGTGTTTCATCGTTAACTTTTTCAGCATAGTAACCAGGAAATTCAGCTAGCCTCAGCTGAATGTGTTTACCTTTTAGATTTCATCTGTCCCTCTTAATATTGTTTTGAGGGTCAGGGAAATATTCCATTACCCTCTTGGATGACTACCCTGTTTGCAGCCTCCCACTGGCAAGCAAAACATTCTTTTGGGGAAGGAAAAAAAAAAAGTTTCCATTTATTTTGTCTAAGCCATCAGATCCTCCTTCCACCCCTACCACCCTGGACTTTCTTTCCAGTGCCCAGCTCCACGTGGAAGCAACTGGTTGAAGCAGGAGCCCTGACCGAGGAGGACAGGAGGAAGGTCAGCAGCTCTCCTGCACGCCAGCTGTCCCCCAGCCGTGCGTGCTAACCCCTGCAGTCACGTCTCCCAGCGCTACCTTTCTGTTTGAGGGCTGTTTGTACTCTGCTACCCTTCTGTCTGAGGGCCTCAGCCACAAAAATGATTGTGTGTTAGGTGCTGTAAACACAGCCCCCGCTGCAGAAAACACAGCTTCTGGGGAAGGCAGCCTAAGGTAAACAGCAACAGACACCTCCGGGTGGACGGGGAGAAAACGTGGTATTGCTCAGCAGTACTAGCACGAGTGAGCTCATCCCAAGACTTCCAGTTAAAGACACCAACTCATTGCAGTACCGCTCCTGTTACCAAGTTAACCGAAACCTCACTAGTTTTCTGTTGCCTGCTTTTATGTGAGCACCAGCTTCTGGAACAGACAATTTTCCCAGTTCTCCAACACTTCAGGTGGTGAGCGTCCTGGGTTCAGGAGCTGAGCAAGTCACCAAAGTAATCCAAGATGCTCCAAGCCTTCTGCAAAGGGAAAAGCTCAGTGATGACACTAAGAAACGTCCAGCACTTCTCACATCCCATTGCACTATGCTTATGCTTGAGAGGTTCTGCTTGGAACCTGCTACACATTGCAGTGGTTGGCAAAAATGAAAAGAAAAAAAAAATATATGAGGAAGAGTTAACCCAAATTCTTGATTCAAGTTCTCTTCAGTCAGACCCAGGTCAAACCCCCTGTACCTTACCCTGCATCCACCCTCCACACTGAGCCTTTTGAGGGGTACAAGTTTTGGAGGAGGTAGAAGTCTGTTACACCAGGTTAATGCTAATGCAAATCAGCAGAAGCAGGGTGGAAAGCACAGGATCTGAACATGCCCCTAAACAACAATACTATATAGTCATAGCAAAATAAAGACAAAACCTGTCAGCACAGCATAACTTGTGTCTGTGCAAGTAAAACAATAACTGAAATTACTTCTGTCCTTCGGTAAGGGGAAGGCAGAGGTCAAGCTGCCACTCAGAGACTCACAGTTTATTTTCCAGCTTGTCACAGAAGAAGCACGCTGTTCTGTTTGGAAATCAGCTATCCTGTTTTTAAAGCCTTCAGAGAGCAAGGAGGGTGAAACCTCATCTTCTTTCCTCCTACGCCTTTCCATACGCAGGGAATAGTGACCTCCAGGTAACCATCCTCTGCAACAGGATTTCTCCTTTCTGCCCACCCCCTCTCCAGCTTCCTAGAGCCACCTCCCTTTTATTTACTCTCTTAGAGCTGAGGCTCTCTCACAGTATATATACATACCTCTGTTCTCTTCTTTTTTTTCTTCTTCTCCCCATTGTAAAATACTGCAGAATAGCCTTTTTTATGATCTAGCCTAAAAGGAAAAGGACACTGAGCTTGCCAGTGTTACACCACTGGACAATGCTCTCAGACTGATTTTTGGGTAGCCCCACGCGGAGCCAGGAGTTAGACTCAATGATCCTTGTTGGTCCCTGCCAACTCGGGATATTCTCTGATTCTGTGATTTTCTTAAGCTTCCTACTTAAACAGGTAACAGCTGTGGCTGTACCTTAGCTTAAGCCAGGCCACAAGATTAGTGTTTTTCAAGCAAGATAACAACTCTCGGGTGCTTGAGAGGTGCTCATTTTCCCCAGCAGGACCTGGAGAAAGAAAATTACTGAGCTCCACCTGAGAACCTGCTGCACTTCTGTTCACTTAGGCTAATTTGAAGCACCACCAGTGCAGCAACTGGCTCAGGAAGTTAAGACACAAACATTGGGGACTGAAATGACAGCATTAAGGGGCCTGACACTGGGGAACCCATTGCAACTGAAGCATCTTCAGGTCATTTCTCTCTTCTTGTAATGACTCGTTCACGTATGAACCATCGTCAGTCACTTTCCTAACTTCGTAGCCAGTAAGCAGCAGAGCTGAAATGCTTTAAAATCAGAAAATGCCCTTTGGTGTAATACAGCTTCTCAGTCCCACCATGCTGGGGCCTAAAACCTGTGACCCTAATGAACACACAGACGTACGCAGCCAGCTTCCTCTGTGATACACACCAATCTCTTGCCTGCAGTGAGCAAACATACAGGGGAGATGTTACGGATACAAAAGCCTGATAGGATTTTTAAGTATGTGCTACTTGAGCAAAGCATCCCTGAAAGCCTGTGCAAATTGTGTTGCTAATGCCCCTTTCATATTTGGATGCGTGGATGATGAATCTCCTACTAATTCGACTGATTTTTGCTCTGGGAGCACTGATGGCAAGCCAACCGCCCGTCACCTCTTTCTGCTTCTTGTCAGCCAGCGCTGCTGAGAGCCAGGCAGTGCATGGGCCCCAACGGGCCCCGAAACAAGAGCAGAGGGACAGAGGAAACCACTGCACAACCACAGCACTCTCTCCTTCACTGACCGCTGTGAGAGGAGCAGCTGCCCCAGGCGAAGAGCCGGGCACCTTCTGCCCCACTGCGCTTCCTTCGCGTTTGGTGAGGAAGCGACGTGGGTGGGAGGAGAGAAAGGAGGGTGAACCCGAAGCCGCAGAAGCAAGCAACTCGGGGCAGAGACCAACCTGTAGGTATTTGGTGCACACAGCTGACACCGATGGCAGCCGGCCCCTGCTCACTAGAAAAATAGAAGGCAGGAAATCCTGTGACAGTCTTGTTTCGGTGATGATGTGAGAGACGCAGCAGCAGGAGACAACAAAACAAAAACCCTCTAAACCCCTGGAGCACACGTGGGCAACCTCCAGAGGGGAGCCTGGCACTTCCCAGCCCCTCGCTGCTCCTCCCGGGGCTACCAAAATGCCTCTGGCAGCGGGTGCAGAGAGGGCAGGGAGCAGTCCAGGAGTCAGGGCTGGGTTAATCAGAAAGGCTCGTGGATGGCTGTGCCAGGAGCTCTGAGATTGCTTCAGGAGGAAAGGTGGTAAGGGAGTGTGTTTGCACACTGCCTCCTCCTCGCAAGCCCTCTCGAAAGCTGGAGCTCAAACGTGGCCGTGTTTGAAGTGATATTTCCACGCCAGAAAGTGCCACTTTCCCTGCACCCAAGGCCATGATCTATCCTTTCCTGTATCTGCTGTTAACAGAGCTTGTAATTTCAGGTGGGGAAGGTAAACAGCTGGAAACGAGGAACTCCTCAGAAACAAACACTCTTCTCAACGCAAATCACTCTAGCAATGACGAACAAGGGACAAGAAATGTGGGAAGGGCAGGGTATGGTTAACAGGGGGCCTGCAGCCCAGATTTCGGGGTGCTCTTAGGTGCTGTTCCAGCAATTTATGGGGATTGGAGAAGCCCAAAATCTTTTTATTTATTTATTCATTTATTTATTTATTTATTTATTTATTTTTTCTGTGCTTAGCAGGACATTGCCAACCTTTTCCTTGTGCCTTTCAGCTGTGGTGTTTCCTCCTGCCAGACAAAGTTGTGAAGCTGCAGCTGACTTGTCAAGAACTGGTCCCTCACCTGCACCAGCTGATGCCAAACCGGACCCTCTGAGGTGCTGCTGGCGGCCACTCGGGTCCCTGTCCCTCAGCTACAGCCACAAATGGTCCCTGCTGATGGACACGCAGGTTCCTTCCCTTCCAGCCAGCACCATGAGGCTGGGATCTGCAGGAGGAATCATTACTGCCACCCCACATCTTTGCTGCGCAGGAGCTGGTTTGAAGGAGGGCAGCGGGGCCAAAAGGAACCGGCCCAGCACTCAGATATTTGCATTTTCCACTGTTCAGACATGGATAAGCCAAAAGGGAGCAGCACAAGACTTCTCCCTCTCCTCAGCCCATCCCCAGCATCACGAGCGGGAGAGGCAGGGGGAGAGAGGGGCAGATCGGTAACGTGGCCAGGACAAAGGGGCAGCTGCAGTGTCTGCTCGGAGCAAAAAGCCTAGGGAAATTTTTAGAAGGTTTCAGCAGAGAAAACCCTGGGGACACTCTGAAGAGATTGTTTAGGCTCAAGCATAGGCTTTTCTGTTTTAAATTAGACTCCAGAAAGGGAGTTATTTTGGAATACACACTGCATATCTTCTGCTGGATGCATCATGGGCACACCACCTGTTTACCATGCCTGCTCTGGGGTGATTTATACACAAAGGATCTTGGCAAAGAACTGTCTTCGCTTCACTTTTGTAAAACCAAAAACCAACCTGGCCTGACTATCACAGAGATGGGACAAAGCCAAAAGCTTTCAGCTGAGTGTCTGTTCCCTTCCAAGGCTTGGTGGTCTGGATACAAAGAAACCGAGATTCAATTAATCCTCGTGTTGGTTTTGCAAAAACATTTCTGCTGGATTTTGGTTCTGAAAAAAACAACTCCAAACTCTGGTGTCCTTGGGAAAGAAATGAAAGACTGCTGAAAATAGTGCAGTTGGAAGGCTTCTTTCCTTCACAAAGCCTTCCGCAGCGTCCTGCAAGCCTGTAACCCTAACAGGCGTATCACCACTGAGTGAAACCGAGTCTCGGCTGCTGAAAGGGTATGAGTCTGCATGCTGTCAGATGCTCTCATGCAAAGTGTTGTCATACTTTGGTCAGGAATCTTTGCAATGCAGTAAGAAACTAGAAGGAAGAGGGGAACTGCCTGTGTCAGTGCATTTCCAGTCCTCCCCTGCATACAAGCAGGGAGAGGTCAGCTTGAGGGGCTGGGCGGGTGCTTGGTGCTGGAAATGCAGCCCTGTGCCTACCATCCATCCACTGAACACCCCTTTTGGCCAAGACACGGTGTCAGCAATGAGATGTGCAACTCCTTAGTGATCTTTTTGGAGCAGCAGAAATGACTGCGAGCTTTTCACCCCTGGAAATGTGTAGCTGAAGTAGATATACACAAGAAAACAGCGCTGCAGTAGTGAGGGCCAGGCAGCACCCAGGGTGCAGCGACCACAGGCATCGTGCCCGCAGTCCTGGAGCTCGAGCTTCAGCAATCAACCTGGTAGCTTCGTTCCAGTCCCCAGAGGGGACTTCTCTCCTAAAACCATCTAGCTATCCTGCTCTTCACCCTGCAGAGACAGAGCCAGCAAAGTGGTGAATGCTGCAGGTAGGGTGGAGGCAGACTGGCAGAGCAATGAGGCTCCCACAGTCGCAAATGCAGTCGAGCCTAAAACAGCGATGATTTTGCAAGTCCAGAACGGCAGAAGATTTTGAAATTTAAGTGCATTAGCACTGTTATACAAGGACTTAACAGATGCCAGCGCACTGACTAACCTAATAAGCACAGCCTATCCCTGCTGCCATTACTGCTGCCTCACTGGAAGGGCAGTTTTGGCCAGGACGACGTGTGCTCTGAGTCACACGATGGGGAGGAGGCGGTGACGCTGCTCAGGAATCCACCTTGCTGCGTGTGGCTGGAGGATGATACCTGATGTCCACGTGTGGCAGGACGGAGGGGACACAGACAGCTTAGCCCCCGGCATTCCTCGGGACCAGTGCTCACCTGGCGAAGCGTGCAGAGCTAAAAACCACCCGCACACCTCGCTGTTTGCTACACAAGGCACTCAGCAGCTGACACCATGCGCAGAGCACTTCTTGCCTGTGTATCTTCTTGCAGTGAGACCGACAGAGATAACCACCTCCTCAAACTGACGCTCAGTTTCATTCTCTGTTATCAAACCACCTGATCAAAGGCCACTTACCCACACTGCAGACGTCTCAGCCCATGGCCAGACATGCCACATACCAAAGCCTCTGGAGAACAAGGCATCAAAACTACACTTATCCATTAACAGTGCAGGGGTGACAGCCTCTATTTACTTTGCAAATTCTGAAAGACTTAAATCTCATAAGGTGATTATGCCATTAATTAGTGAAATGCAGTCATCTCTGGGGTGTAGCACAGCAGCTGCTTCGGCTGAGCAGCAAAGAAAAAAACAAGCAGGCAGCGTAACATGGTGGTAGTGCCCCAAAGAGAAGTCAGCCCCTCTCCCAGAAGGTATCCCTCTTTCCTTGGCAGTGTGTGAATGTTGACTCCAGTGTCTGGGGGCATCTGATGAAGCCTGAGCCCTGCATTTTGCAGGATATGAGTTTTCCTGAGAAGCTATACATGCAGGGATTATAAACCCAGAAGGGGTCTCTGGTCAGTCATCCCTCTGACCTCCTGAAAAACAGACCACAGAGCCTACCTGAATGATTTCCCCTTCAGACTGTGGCATTTTTTAGGAAAAACACACAGGCAAGAGCACCGTATGACAAATGCAGGTCTGAAGAAGGCACGTTTGTACCACGGCGAATTTACAGACTGAAGCTGCATGGGAGGAAGGAGGCTGCTCCCCGAGGAAGCCCATCTCCTCCGGCTGAGGCCTTCAGCCTGCGAACGGTCCCTGGTCCTTCAGGGGCAGAGTCAGTGCTGGCGCTGCTCCAGCCAGGTGCTGGCTGCTGCTCATCACCCTTCAGCGAGCACGGGGCTGGGGCAGGCACCGGGGATCTGGTGTTCCCAGAGGAGGATGCTCAGAGGCGAGGGCGTTCATGCGAGGCGCACATTAGCCCAGCACGGCCCGCCTCAGGTCCCCTACAGTCAGCAGAGGGGGAGGAAAATCTCCGGAGTATCAATTAGGGCAGCAGATCTAGCCTGGAGGAGGCTACGTCCTCTGAGAGGGACGGGAGAGAAGTTTTGCTAAACTAAAGACATTTTGCTGACCTTTTTTGATACCTCCTGTTTTGCAATGCCACCTCAACAACACTGCGGTCCTTCTGGCCTAACCCGACAGAAATATTCCTGATGTGACAGAAATATTCCTGATGTGGGAGCGCTCAGTGAGGGCTCTCGAGCTGCTCCAGCGATGCCATACACCATCTCCCCACTGTCCTGCTCACAGGAAACCTGCCTGGGGATCTCAGCGTATCTTCAGAGCATGTTACATGGCAGCAACGGCAAATGGCTCCTGTGCTATCTGCAAGCAGAGGAGAGAGCAGCCCTGGGACTGTCTTATTTTGCTGGAACACACCGATTCTGGTCAAGAAAGAAGACAAAGTTTGTTTCAAGTCCCTTCTGTCTTCCACCTCAGGGAGAAGGAAGCATGCCTATCATTTACAGGAGCAGGAAATGTCTGTGAGTCACTGCTGGGAGAATTACCAGGGCTCCACAGAACTCTCCTCACTTGAAAGGAGTTGGCCACTACATTCCTGAAAGTAGTGTTAAAAAAAAAAAAAATGATAGAGGGAAAATAAAAAAAATTGTTACTAAAATATGGGGGTCAATCTGGGAATTCGCTCCCAAAAGCTCATAATAAAAAACCTCCAGCAAAGAACCAACCTCTGTTGTATTTCTTAGCGCTCTGCCTAGTTTTTCCTTAAATGTGCAAGTCACTTCTCTGGCATGTCTGCTTAGAGTCTAAAAGGTTTTACTCTCAGGAAGCTTTTCCTTCACATTCAGCTTAAATGTGCCATTTCTGGAAGTCATCCCCTTGTCTTTTACACTCTAGCAAGCAAAACAAGTGTAAATTAAATGGAAGACACATGAAATCTTTATAAAGTCCTGTGTTTCCCCTAGCTTGAAAGTTCCTTCTCTTTGGAGCAGAATAGGTCTTTATTCTGTGCTGTATTTTTCCCCATTAGAAAATGAAGAAGAATATAAATTTTCCTCATGACTTGAATTTAGCTTCATCAGCAGCCCCCTGCCGATGTAATTCATCCCAACAAGATTCTTTTTTTTTCTTTTTTTTTTTTTTTTTCCCCAGTGAGCCGCTGCCCCTTTTGCCCCTCCTCCCGACAATTCAGGCAGGGAAAACAAGAGAGGAATTAGACAGACAGAACTTATTATCTAACAAGCTGCAACTTCAGACCAGGCAGGAATAACATTTAAAATATAAAAAGCAAATTTTTATCAAGCCTTCTCCTCCCCAGAGACTGCCACAAAAATATTCCTTGTTTGTCGCTGAGAATGAACCATTTTTCTCTTTCATTTCTGCTTTCTGTCACATATTTCATTTTGGCTGCCCCTTCTGTCTTTCAGCTTGGGACCTAGGCTGCTAATGCAGAATCACAGATAACTCAACAACAAAATGCCTGTATTATCATTTTTTTTTTTTTTTTTTTTTTTACAAGTCTGCCAGGTAATTGCAACCCTAAAAGCTTTTGCATATTTACCACAGAAACATGTCTCTCCTGGAGGATGGGACTGTCATCAGGTAGAGTATTTCATTTAATAAGCCTCTTCTGAGGTACAAACTAGGGCTGGGGATTTTTTTCTGGCCTCCTTCAGAGTAAAGGACAAGCAGATAAAAATCAGCTGCTGCAGTGCTACATTGTCAAAGTTCCTGTTCCTGCGAAAATTAACTCTTAGTGAGCTCAGAGCTCAGGAAGGTTTTGTCAGTGGGATGTTTAACAAGTAGGAAAAGGGTCTGAAAACAACTCATGTGATATTTTTTCCCCAGTCCTCTCCATGCATAGGACAGAGCTCTTTCCTATTTACAAAGAGAGCAACTACCCTGCTTTTCTGTAACCCAGCTGATGAGCTGTGCATGATACCAGGACAAATTTTCATTAAATCAGTTCATCAAGAAGGATTGCATTTTCCCTCTTTGCCCCTGTTTCACAGAATTACAGTAACAAAAACATGGCCTAAACATTTCTAAATTCAGCTGTCCTTTAAAAGAATATGCCTTTTTTTTTTCTTACTTCCTTTACCCTAGCCTGAGCTAGCAATAGAATTGCTTTTCTCGGCTCTTGGGATGCCAAATCAAGCTGAGTGGTACCAAAAAGAAGGTCTGAGGAGAACATCTATGAAGGGTACTTGTGTCTTGGAGTCAAGACAATGACCTTCCAGGCTCATGAGAAGAGGCTCGTTTGCCGAAATGTTTAACAGACTGAAGGGGAATACAGCTGGTTCACACATTTGCTTTGCATGCACCTACGCAGAGGTCATAAACTCTATCCCAGCACGACATACCTGTCATTAAAATCACTGCGAGTGGGAATCAGCAGAGTGGGAATCAGACAGGCCCTCAGTCCAACCCCAAATTACTGACAATACTTGTTCATCTCTACCAACAGCATCCCGCGTGGAGAAAAAGTGGTTTTGGCTAACCTTGTTTTAGAAAAATCCTTGCTTTCACTTACAAACAAAAGCTAGAAGATACAGCTAACATACGGATTAATTGTTTAGGTTAAGGCCTTTCTGAAACCAAGAACCTACTTGTATTGACTTGGAAAGGAAATGTAGACTCCCCAGATCCAGTCCCTCTTCTGGAAACAGTCTCAGAGAGAAGGAAGCACAGACAATGGTGAAAGGCTTTCTAAATTGTAAATGGAAAATACTTTTTTTTCTTTTTTTTTTTCCAACTGTCAGTATTTTATGGTTATTTACAAATTGACTATGGTTTTCACCACAAGTAAACTCCAAAAGCTGAGCATATTCCTATCACCAACAAGCCTTTCTAAGAGCCATCCCAGTTTAGGATTAAGGGATGACTCTCATGTATTTGCAGCAAAGAAGGAAAACTCCCGTAGGTAAAATACTTCTAGCAATGCTACTTGAGCCCAGTGTCTTACCTGTAATATCTGGATTGAAGGTAGGTAGAACACACAGCTTTAGACACATGGCTAGCTGAACCGAAGTCTATGACCTTGACCCTATATGGCTGTCGGGATGGATCTACCAACATGATGTTCTCTGGTTTGAGGTCAGCATGAATCAGTCCCAGGCTTTTCAACTTCATTAGGGCAGTTGCTACCTGCTGGAGAATTGGTCGAATGTACTTAAGGGGCAAAGGACTGAATTTGTTTTGTTTTAGGAAATCATAGAGGTTCTGCTCCAACATTTCAAAGACCAAGCACGTGTGATTCTTGTGCTGGAAGCACTCGTACGCGCGGACAAAGTTGTAGTCATCCGCGCTTTCTGTGCTCAGCCGAGCCAGGATGCTCACTTCAATCTGGCCTTGCCGGGCATAGGAAGGATGGTTCTTTAGGATCTTGATGGCCACAATCTCGTTAGTGCCACGTTTCCAGCATTTGACGACTTGTCCGAAGGTCCCCCGGCCAAGAAACTCTAACACTTCGTACGTGTTGGTCATGGAACAGAGCACCTCATGTTGCACCAGTTGGTAATCCCCTTCGCTGTTGGAGCCACTGTTTTTGGAGGTGGCCGTGGAGGTGGTGGCGGTGGCTACGGTGGCCCCACTGGCATTGTTCTGAATCATTGGTGGATGCTCCTCGATGATCTGCACGCTGCTTGTGTTCTCTATCTCCTCACTCTTCCGCTTAAGTCCACATTTTTGGTAGGTGTCCAGAAGGCTCACAGTGCTGCGACGCATCAGGTTGTGTGGCCCGCCCAGTGTTTGCCCAGACACTGCAACCACACCAGAAGTGCTGTTGGCGGACGTCACCACGATGTGCCCCGTGCTTGCTGGGAAGATGATGGTCTGCTCGTAAGGGATGCTTGGATTGGGGATCTGGAGGGAGGCGTTGACGGCTGCTGCGGCGGCTGCTTGGGAGGACTGCACGTTCTTGCTCTGGCTGTAGACTTTGCTGTGTGTGCCGTACCCGGTCATATCCCAGTTCGAACTCGGCTCCACTTTCAGTTTCTTCACGCTACAGAAGGCACTTGACTGAAGGGTGTGAGGAGAGAAAACTTGCACATGCGAGGCCATACCTGCAATAAAACACCAGAGTGAAACCACAGTGTCAAGACGCCTTCCCCAGCTTTTTCCATTTGTTCGGTGGCAATAAGGGAGAATGGGATACAGCCTTCAGATACTGCACACGCACAAAAATCAAGTTCTTTCAGAAATATGTATTCAACACAAATAAAAAATGATGCTCTAAAATAAATCATTACTCCCAGCTGAACTCTACTAACAAACACTGAGACTTCTGCTCTCTTGCTCTTCCCCTTCTCATTTTTAATAACGAGAATGTAAATGTTATTTTTACCTCCTTTGCCTAAGGAGACTCCTATTCCCATTGTCTCCAGGAATATACATGTACCTAGATCGCTTTTGCTGATGTAAAATACTGCAAAGCATTCTGCCTGTGGAGGCCAAATCTCAAATCCTCAGGCTCATCCTGTATTAACAAGTTTGGCAGACGTGACTTAAGACCTCTGTTTACCCCCATAAAACCACTGCGTAGCTGCTGGCTTGCAGAGAGCCAGGATGGGACCAGGAGATGACACACCATGACAAGCAGAGGTGCACTGACAGAGCTGAAGAGCCAGGACAGAAGCAGCAGATGATGTCTCAGGTTGCTTGCCAAGTCTGTGTGTGGGAATCGTGCACAATGCTTGTCTCTGCTCAGGGACACTGATGATGGGAGTTAGACAACACGAGCTTCACCGTGTGCTCTTACTTGTCTCAGATTTGTAAAATTGTGTTCATCTCCTCTTATTCACAGTGACAACACTGTCACTGGAAAGCAGATCCCCTGGAAATGAACGGCATTGTTAACGATACAAGGTACAAATTAGCATGTGGTGGAATCAAGTCCTAATATAATTTATTTTTTAAGAAAAGAAAAAAACCACCGTTTTTCTTCTCCTGTAGGAGAACTAATGATCTTCTACACCATTATTCAAAAAAAAAAAAAAAAAAAAGAAACCCACAACCTCATAATCAAAGTCAAAATAAAGCATCACTGAGACAGGCTGACTGAGGAATCTGGGTAACATCCCACTGAAACAGAAAATGTTCCTGTTCAGAAGGTGGTCCATGGAGAAAAGGACGCCTAGGTGCCAGCTTTCTGCTGGCTCTCCCTTCCCAGGGCAGGGATGGTGCTGCTGGGGCGAAGGTACTGAGAACCCCACAAGTCTACTGGGATTTTTACGGAAGAAGCCAGTGCCCGGCGAGAGTTAAAGCAGAAAGGCACATGCTCCTTCAACCCTTCTGTCTGTCGTCAGTGTTTCTTTTTAATAAACCAGAATGACTAGGGAAGAAAAAGACAATATGCTGAGCTGGCACCGCTGCTGAATTATTAAGCACAAACATAACCTTGACTTGTTTGCAGCTTTAAGAAGTTAGAAGCTGAAGAAATGCTTCAGCAACAACAACACAACAAACTCGGCAATGCGCATGGATGACTCCTTCACGTGGAGACCTCCCAGCTCCCTTTCCTCAAAGAAGCCCGTTCTCCACTGGTCCTTGTTCTTCTGAAGATGTTCTGGAGTCCGTACGCACACAGGTGCAGTTACACTCGTGCACACATACACATACACACCCACATTGAACAACACGAGCATTATTCCACACTGCCCAAACCCTGCAAACCGCAACAAGCCCTTCTTCTCAGGCAAGCCCACTGCCCCTAATCTCATTTT